CACTTTTTGCACAGAATGCTTAATGCCCAAATGGAGTGGAAGTTTTAGCAGTAAAGGGGCGAAACCAAAAACCCGTCATTGTGGGGTCTACAAGCCTCCGGGTGCAAATCCCAGCAATTCCAGGAACGCGTTAAAATTTACCACGTCTGGAAAATCTTCCCGTCCTGCACCCAAAAATTCTCCTGGGGATTTTAACTTTGGCACTAAAATGGGGAATAAGCAAATAATATTTTTGCAGTAATAACACCAGGAGGGAGCTCTGATGAAAACTCACACTCACATGAGCTTTTAAATCTCTGCACAAAATTCAATTTAAACCAGCAAATAATAGAGCCTACTAGACTGGAGAATACACTAGACCTCATCTTCACTAACAATGATGATCTGATAAGAAATGTCACCATATCAAAAACAATATACTCAGATCACAACATAATTGAGGTTCAGACATGTATGCGTGGAGCCCAGACCGACATAATGAGACTAGTCACGAGGGAGCATTCACCAATTCAACTTCAATAACAAAAACATAAAGTGGGACCAAGTAAACCAAGTCCTAACCGATATAAGCTGGGAAGATATACTAAGCAACACAGACCCCAACTTATGCCTAGAACAGATTAACTCGGTGGCACTCGATGTATGCACAAGGCTTATTCCTCTAAGAAAAAGGAGGAGTAGATGTAAAATAGAAAGAGACAGGCGCTCCCTTTACAGGCAACGGAAAAGAATAACAGAGCGGCTAAAAGAGGTCAACATATCTGAAATGCGTAGGGAGACACTGGTCAGAGAAATAGCAAGCATCGAACTTAAGCTAAAAGAATCCTTTAGGAGTCAGGAATCGCGGGAAGAACTAAAAGCCATAAATGAAATCGAAAGAAACCCAAAGTATTTCTTCTCCTATGCCAAATCAAAATCGAGAACAACGTCCAGTATTGGGCCCCTACTTAAACAAGATGGGTCCTACACAGATGACAGCAAGGAAATGAGTGAGCTACTCAAGTCCCAATATGACTCAGTTTTTAGCAAGCCGCTAACCAGACTGAGAGCCGAAGATCAAAATGAATTTTTTATGAAAGAGCCACAAAATTTGATTAACACAAGCCTATCCAATGTTATCCTGACGCCAAATGACTTCGAACAGGCGATAAATGACATGCCCATGCACTCTGCCCCAGGGCCAGACTCATGGAACTCTGTGTTCATCAAGAACTGCAAGAAGCCCCTATCACGAGCCTTTTCCATCCTATGGAGAGGGAGCATGGACACGGGGTCGTCCCACAGTTACTAAAAACAACAGACATAGCCCCACTCCACAAAGGGGGCAGTAAAGCAACAGCAATGAACTACAGACCAATAGCACTAACATCCCATATCATAAAAATCTTTGAAAGGGTCCTAAGAAGCAAGATCACCACCCCATCTAGGAACCCATCAGTTACACAACCCAGGGCAACATGGGTTTAGAACAGGTCGCTCCTGTCTGTCTAAAACTATTGGATCACTACGACAAGGTCCTAAATGCACTAGAAGACAAAAAGAATGCAGTATGTAATATATACAGACTTTGCAAAAGCCTTCGACAAGTGTGACCATGCGTAATAGCGCACAAAATGTGTGCTAAAGGAATAACAGGAAAAGTCGGTCGATGGATCTATAATTTCCTCACTAACAGAACACAGAGAGTGGTCGTCAACAGAGTAAAGTCCGAGGCAGCTACGGTGAAAAGCTCTGTTCCACAAGGCACAGTACTCGCTCCCATCTTGTTCCTCATCCTCATTTCCGACATAGACAAGGATGTCAGCCACAGCACCGTGTCTTCCTTTGTAGATGACACCCGAATCTGCATGACAGTGTCTTCCATTGCAGACACTGCAAGGCTCCAGGCGGACATCAACCAAATCTTTCAGTGGGCTGCAGAAAACAATATGAAGTTCAACGATGAGAAATTTCAATTACTCAGATATGGTAAACATGAGGAAATTAAATCTTCATCAGAGTACAAAACAAATTCCGGCCACAAAATAGAGCGAAACACCAACATCAAAGACCTGGGAGTGATCATGTCGGAGGATCTCACCTTCAAGGACCATAACATTGTATCAATCACATCTGCTAGAAAAATGACAGGATGGATAATGAGAACCTTCAAAACTAGGGAGGCCAAGCCCATGATGACACTCTTCAGGTCACTTGTTTTATCTAGGCTGGAATATTGCTGCACACTAACAGCACCTTTCAAGGCAGGTGAAATTGCCGACCTAGAAAATGTACAGAGAACTTTCACGGCGCGCATAACGGAGATAAAACACCTCAATTACTGGGAGCGCTTGAGGTTCCTAAACCTGTATTCCCTGGAACGCAGGAGGGAGAGATTCATGATTATAACACCTGGAAAATCCTAGAGGGACTAGTACCGAACTTGCACACGAAAATCACTCACTACGAAAGCAAAAGACTTGGGCAGACGATGCACCATCCCCCAATGAAAAGCAGGGGTGTCACTACACGTTAGAGACCATACATTATAGGTCAGGGGCCCGGAACTGTTCAACTGCTCCCAGCACACATAAGGGGATTACCAACAGACCCTGGCAGTCTTCAAGCTGGCACTGGACAAGACCTAAAGCCAGTTCTGATCACGGGCTGTGGCTCGTACTTTGGTTTGCGTGCAGCCAGCAGCACAGCCTGGTTGATCAGGCTCTGATCCACCAGGAGGCCTGGTCACAGACCGTGGGCGGAGGGCATTGGACCCCGGAACTCTCTCCAGGTAACTCCAGGTATGTCAATAACCCTGGGCATAAGACGTACTTAGTATGTCGGAAACCCTGAACGGGTTAATACCTGACATGTTGTTGGAGTGTGAGCAAACGTAACATTTATGAAGGATTCAGGAAACCGCAAGCCCGTGTTGTAATGTTGCAGTTTTATAACTGTAGTGTAGTCACCCCTTGGCAAGACAGTGAGGGGTGAATGATGATGAAAGTTTTCTTTTCGGGCCACCCTGCCTTGGTGGAATCGGCCCAATGGTTATAAAAATAATAAATAAAATAATGAAAGACATCGGTAGTGTCATCTGCGAATAGAACAGTTTAAGGAGATGAGATTGCATTGGGAGATCATTGATGTAAATGAGAAAGGGCAGAGGGCCAAGGACACTGCCTTGGGGCACTCCTATGGCTACAGGCTGAGTAGATGAGGTTATACTGTTTTTGGAGACGTATTGGTGTCTATTTCTAAGATAAGACTTTAGGTATGCATTCTCCGAATGCTTTCCACATGTCTATGAAGAGTTTCGGAGGATATCTGTCTTTTTCAAGTGCTACATAAAGCAGTTCAAGCATTTGTGTAATTGCATCATTCGTACTTTTTTTCAGCCTAAGCGCAAGCTGGCAGGAGTTAAGTATGTTGTGAGATACTAGGTCGGGGTAAGCTCTTTTTTTTTTTTTTTTTTTTTAGAAAGTAAAGGCAAGTTTGTTATAGGCCTCTAGTTATTCACCTCAGTTGGATTACCTCCTTTGAGGATTGGGGTAACCCTTGCTCTCTTGAGTATGGATGAGAAAGATGAAGATTCCATTGATTGTTAAACAGAGGTGCAATACTGGGTGATAGTATATGAGCTGCTTTTTTTTTATGTACATGAGTGGTGACAAATTATTTAGGTTTCCTGTCTTGTTTTTTCAGTGAATTTATGGTGAGTGAGTAGGATTAGTTGGAGCTAGATACAGAGTCTGTATTTGGATAATCTCCAGTAAGGTGGTCTTTAGCCTGAGTAATTGAGGTTGGGATTTTGCTTGCTAGTTTCCATCCTATAGTATAAAGGAAAGCATTAAGTTTGTTGGCAGTGTCTGCAGGCTGGATGTGTGGTTCATCTGGTTTAGTTAAGTTTATATCACTGTTTCCAGATAGTTTTCGAGAGCCTGGGATTTCAGAGAGGATTTTCCAGGTCTTTCTCGTATCCACTTTTATTTCTTTAAATCTGCTTGCGTAATATGTTGTTTAGCCTTCCTTATTAGATTAGTAAGTATTGACATATATTGCTTAATCTGTTCTTTTGTTATTAAGCCCTGTCAGAAGTGTTTTTCATATTGATGTTTTTTTGTCAATGGATTTGAGGATGCTGTTTGTAAGCCATGGGCTGTTGAGTCTCTTTGCTGTGATCTATTTAGTCTTAATTGGACAATGTCTGTTGTAGAGGTTTTGGATTATTAGAAGACAAATTTTGAAACGTCAGTATCATAGCTGTCAGTTAACTCTGCCAGTCAGTGTCACTTAATGCTGAAATAAAGTTATTTACTGATGACTCATCATGGAGACAAATGAGATCTTACTAGTGTCTTGAGGCAATTTACTTAAGTTGGTTATGAGGAAGGTGAGGTAGTATTCTGTGGTGTTATCTGTGATCATTCCTTTGAGTGGCGATATAGTATTAGTCCAGGTATAGTCAAGTAATGAGGCACTTGTCTCAGATTCTTGTTGGTTTAGTTATATGTATATGGTAGTAGCAAGCAGTGTCAATTATTGTGTGTCAATTATGGCTGGAGGGAGGGGGTAAAGGAAGTTTTATGTGCATAAAGTTTGGACATCCAGCAGGCACTTGTAAACATGTTAGATATGAATGAGTGGAGGCAAATGGTTTTTGGGACCTGACAAGCTGTTGGAGTATAAGCAGTGTAACATTTTGTGAAGGGATTCAGGGGAAACTGGTTAGCTGGACTTGAGTCCTGGAGGTGGGAAGTACAGTGCTTGCACTCCAAAGGAGGGTTTGGGATATTTGCTGTTTAGAGGATCATCTGAACTGTTATATTAATGTGCCTCTGGCAAGACAGTGATAGTGTGAGTGATGGTGAAAGTGTTTCCTTTTACGGGTCGCTCTCCCTCAGTGGGAGACAGCCTGTGTGTTAAAAAAAAAAATTAGTATCATCATTCCAATATCTGACACTTCATCTATTCTAGAGTACATGTATAGAGCACTAATATTCTCCTCTTTCTCTTTCCAGTGATGCCAATGATTTAACAAATATTAGACGGATCACTGGCATTTGTCCCCAGCATGATGTCGTCTTTATGACACTCACACCACGGGAACACCTAAGATTCTTTGCTCAAATCAGGGTAGTTTTTTTTGTATATACCTTAATTTAAGAAAAGGGAATATATAATTAGCTTCTCACTTTTGTTAGTTACAGAGATATATTCTTTATTCCATATACTATGATCATTTTTAATGGATTATTAAAATAGATTCAAATAAATAGAGAATTTTATTTCAAGGGGTTGCTACTACAGTAGTATGTGTGTGTGCTATGTGAGCCATTGTTAGAAGATAAATCAGTCAATTGGGTTTGATAATTTACATACAAATAATATACCAGGTGTCCCACTCAGAATTCTTTAAATTATGATAATCTCTGAAATTTATTTTCACTGTTCATCCAATTTGTTAAATATGTGTACCTGTAACTTGTGTCAAGAATTTTATTTAATCTAGCAGTCTAGCTTGAGGCCATGCTCTCCTGGTAGCTGTCTGATCAGCCACACTGTTGTTGTACATAATTCACAGACCTATATAACTATCACAAGCTTAATGATAGGCACATTTTCAAACATTTGTCTCCCTTCCTCTTGTGTCAACATTTCTTATATTTGCTAAGTAGTAGCTTGAAAAGTTGCAGACCTTTGATGTTGACATATCGTTCTCTAAGTGGACTTCTAAAATCCTTACTTTCAATTCAGTTTATTCTACACTTTATCTCAAGTCTCTTGCTTCAGCAAGTAATTGTATTGCATAAATTAGCAACCTGATTATCGAGTACTATACTTTCCATACAGAGTAGGGTTTTTTCTGTCATTTGTTCTAGAAAATATTTTCCAAGTGCTAGCAGCACTAGTTGTTTAGAGGATTCATTGATTTTTTACCAGCAGCCAGTTATAGCTATATTTTCTACCTCAGAATCTCAACTGACTTGAGAGACAGCAACCACCCAGGGAGGTACTACTGTTCTGCCAAGTGAGTGTAAAACGAAAGCCTGTAATTGTTTTACATCATGGTAGGATTGCTGGTGTCTTTTGTCTGTCTCATAAATATGCAGATACATCTTGCTACTTCTACTTACACTTAGATCACACTAAACATATATGTACACGTTTATTTATACACACTCATCTGAGTTTTCTTTGATTTTATCTTAGTTCTTGTTCTAATTACTTTTCCTTTTATATCCATGGGGAAGTGGAATAAGAATTTTTCCTCTGTAAGCCATGGGTGTTGTAAAAGTCAACTAAAATGCTGGGAACAATGGGTTAGTAACCCCTTTTCCTGTAAAGATTACTAAAAAGAATAATAAGAAGAAAATTGTCAAAGTGGGAAGTTTGAATGTGTGTGGATGTTGTGCAAATGATAAGAAAGAGATGATTGTGGATGTTATGAATGAGAAGAAGCTGGATATCCTGGCTTTAAGTGAAACGAAGCTGAAGGGGGTCGGTGAGTTTCAGTGGAGAGGAATAAATGGGATTAGGTCAGGGGTTTCTAATAGAGTTTGAGCTAAAGAAGGAGTAGCAATAATGTTGAAGGATAAGCTATGGCAGGAAAAGAGGGACTATAAATGTATTAATTCAAGGATTATGTGGAGTAAAATAAAGGTTGGATGTGAGAAGTGGGTTATAGTAAGCATTTATGCACCTGGGGAAGAGAGAAGTATAGAGGAGAGAAAGAGATTTTGGGAAACGTTGAGTAATTGCATGGGGAGTTTTGAATCAAGTGTGAGAGTACTTGTGGTTGGGGATTTTAATGCTAAAGTGGGAAAAAATGTTTTGGAGGGAGTAGTAGGGAAATTTGGGGTGCCAGGGGTAAATGAAAATAGGGGGCCTTTAATTGAGCTATGTGAAGAAAGAGGTTTGGTAATAAGTAATACATATTTTATGAAAAAGAGGATAAATAAATATACAAGGTATGATGTAGCACGTAATGAAAGTAGTTTGTTAGATTGTGTTGGTGGATAAAAGGTTGATGGGTAGGCTCTAGGATGTACACATTTATAGAGGGGCAACTGATATATTGGATCATTATCTAGTTGTAGCTACAGTTAGAGTAAGAGGTAGATGGGATAAGAGGAAAATGGCAACAACAAGTAAGAGGGAGGTGAAAGTGTATAAACTAAGGGAGGAGGAAGTTCGGGTGAAATATAAGCAACTATTGGCAGAAAGGTGGGCTGGTGCAGGTATGAGTAGTGGGGGGGTTGAAGAGGGTTGGAATAGTTTTAAAAAATGCAGTATTAGAATGTGGGGCAGAAGTTTGTGGTTATATGAGGGTGGGGGCAGGAGGAAAGAAGAGTGATTAGTGGAATGATGAAGTAAAGGGTGTGATAAAAGAGAAAAAGGTAGCTTATAAGAGGTATTTACAAAATAGAAGTGTTATAAGAAGAGTAGAGTATATGGGGAGTAAAAGAAAGGTGAAGAGAGTGGTGAGAAAGTGCAAAAGGAGAGCAGATGATAGTGGGAGAGGTACTGTCAAGGAATTTTAATGAAAACAAAAAATTTTTGAGTGATTTAAACAAGTTAAGAAAGCCTAGGGAACAAATGGATTTATCAGTTAAAAACAGAGAAGGGAGTTAGTAGATGGGGAGATGGAGGTTTTGGGTAGATGGTGAGAATATTTTGAGGAACTTTTAAATGTCGATGAAGAAATGGAGGTGGTAATTTCATGCACTGGCCAGGGAGGTATATCATCTTTTAGGAGTGAAGAAGAGCAGGATGTGAGTGTGGGGGAGATGCATGAGGCATTACATAGAATGAAAGTGGGTAAAGCAGCTGGAACTGACGGGATCATGACAGAAATGTTAAAAGCAGGGGGGGACATAGTGTTGGAGTGGTTGGTATTTTTGTTTAATAAATGTATGAAAGAGGAGAAGGTACCTAGGGATTGGCGGAGAGCGTGTGTAGTCCCTTTATATAAAGGGTAGGGGGACAAAAGAGATTATAAAAATTATAGAGGAATAAGTTTACTGAGTATACCAGGAAAAGTGTACAATAGGGTTCTTATTGAAAGACTTAGAGGCAAGACAGAATGTAGAATTGCGGATGAGCAAGGAGGTTTCAGAGTGGGTAGGGGATGTGTAGATCAAGTGTTTACATTGAAGCATATATGTGAACAATATTTAGATAAAGGTAGGGAAGTTTTTATTGCATTTATGGATTTAGAAAAGGCATATGATAGAGTGGATAGGGGAGCAATGTGGCAGATGTTGCAAGTATATGGAATGGGTGGTAAGTTACTAAATGCTGTAAAGAGTTTTTATGAGGATAGTGAGGCTCAGGTTAGGGTGTGTAGAAGAGAGGGAGACTACTTCCCGGTAAAAGTAGGTCTTAGACAGGGAATGTGTAATGTCACCATGGTTGTTTAATATATTTATAGATGGGGTTGTAAAAGAAGTCAATCCTAGGGTGTTCAGGAGAGGGGTGGGATTAAATTATGGGGAATTAAATACAAAATGGGAAGTGAGACAGTTACTTTTTGCTGATGTTACTGTGCTTATGGGAGATTCTAAAGAAAAATTGCAAAGGTTAGTGGACGAATTTAGGAATGTGTGTAAAGGTAGAAAGTTGAAAGTGAACATAGAAAAGAGTAAGGTGATGAGAGTATCAAATGATTTAGATAAAGAAAAATTGGATATCAAATTGGGGAGGAGTATGGAGGAAGTGAATGTTTTCAGATATTTGGGAGTTGACGTGTCAGCAGATGGATTTATGAAGGATGAGGTTAATCATAGAATTGATGAAGGAAAAAAGGTGAGTGGTGCATTGAGGTATATGTGGAGGAAAAAAATGTTATCTATGGAGGCAAAGAAGGGAATGTATGAAAGTACAGTAGTACCAACACTCTTATATGGGTGTGAAGCTTGGGTTGTAAATGCTGCAGCGAGGAGGCAGTTGGAGGCAGTGGAGATGTACTGTCTAAGAGCAATGTGTGGTGTAAATATTATGCAGAAAATTCGGAGTGTGGAAATTAGGAGTTAATGAAAGTATTAGTCAGAGGGCTGAAGAGAGGTTGTTGAGGTGGTTTGGTCATTTAGAGAGAATGGATCAAAGTAGAATGACATGGAGAGCGTATAAATCTGTAGGGGAAGGAAGGTGGGGTAGGGGTCATCCTCAAAAAGGTTGGAGGGAGGGGGTAAAGGAGGTGTTGTGGGCGAGGGGTTTGGACTTCCAGCAAGCGTGTGTGAGCGTGTTAGATAGGAGTGAATGGAGACAAATGGTTTTTGGGACCCGACAATCTGTTGGAGTGTGAGCAGGGTAATATTTAGTGAAGGGATTCAGGGAAACCGGTTGTTTTATATAACCGGACTTGAGTCCTGGAAATGGGAAGTACAATGCCTGCACTTTAAAGGAGGGGTTTGGGATATTGGCAGTTTGGAGGGATATGTTGTGTATTTTTATACGTATATACTTCTAAACTGTTGTGTTCTGAGCACCTCTGCAAAAACAGTGATTATGTGTGAGTGAGGTGAAAGTGTTGAATGATGATAAAAGTATTTTCTTTTTGGGGATTTTCTTTCTCTTTGGGTCACCCTGCCTCGGTGGGAGACGGCCGACTTGTTGAAAAAAAAAAAAATATTCTAAATGAGAAAATGTCAATATTTTAAAGAATACAGTATGATTATTTGTGTGGCATCTCTTGTTTATAGCACTCATCATTTTATTTTCCTGGCTTTACTTTAACTGGCTATATTTTTTGCTCTCTCAGTATAGCTTTCTTTGAAAATTTCTGATTACATTCTATATTCTGCATTCCATTAGAATTACTCTTTTTCATATTGAAGCATTTGGAACTTACCTCTTCTGAACTTTTTTTTTTTCTGTTCATTGCAAGACCTGATTAATAAATACAGTAGAATCCCCATATCCACAGATTCGATATCCGTGGTTTCAGTTATCCACAGTTTACTGTGGCCCAAAAATAACCGTTAATTTTGCTTAATAATGGCCCCAGAGTGCAAAAGTAGTGATGCTGGCAGTTCTTCAATGCCTAAGAGAAGCTGTGAAGTGCTTCCCATAAGTGAAAAAGTGCTAAGCTTAGACTTATTTTGCATAATTTATCAATTAAACTTTATCATAGGGATGTATGTAAATGTAGGTAGTAGGTTGGTAGACAGCAACCACCCAGGGAGGTACTACCGTCCTGATAAGTGAGTGTAAAACGAAAGCCTGTAATTGTTTTACATGATGGTAGGATTGCTGGTGTCCTTTTTTCTATCTCATAAACATGCAAGATTTTAGGTATGTCTTGCTACTTCTACTTACACTTAGATCACACTACACATACATGTACAAGCGTATATATACACACATACCCCTCTGGGTTTTCTGCTATTTTCTTTCTAGTTCTTGTTTAATTCTTCTTATCTCCATGGGGAAGTGGAACAGAATTCTTCCTCCGTAAGCCATGCGTGTTGTAAGAGGCGACTAAAATGCCGGGAGCAAGGGGTTAGTAACCCCTTCTCCTGTATAAATAACTAAATTTAAAAAAGAGAAACTTTTGTTTTTCTTTTTGGGCCACCCTGCCTCGGTGGGATACAGCCGGTTTGTTGAAAAAAAAAAATGTATGTAAATGAAAATGACTTATATATAGTGTTCACTACTATCCAAGGTTTCAGGTATCTATGCTGGTTCATGGAACCAGCATGGATACGGGGGTTCTACTGTATATGACTAGTTTCTCAGTGTCTTCTACTGAGGCAACTTTCATGCTTATTGTGGTATTATCTGTGAAAGATGACATGAAGCTGTGATTAATGTCTTCTATAGAAATTAGATTGAATATACAAGTAAAATTTAATGTAATAATGCCTGGCAAGTTATTTTAAAAATGAAACTCCAAAATCTATAATTAGCTGCAATGAGAATTCTGTATTTGCTGATTACAGACCTTTGCAGAAGGGATCACCCTTGAAAGAGTCATCATAGTCGGCTTCATCCTCTTTTCTTTCTTTGACAGGATAGAACCGATGGTCGACTTGTTTTTCCCATACATCCTGGCAAGCTCAACAAGTCTCACACCACTCTCATACTTCTGTATTATTTCCTTCTTCACATCTATGGTGTTTCTCACTTTCTTTACCACAGGGGTACCACTAACAAGTTTCTTTGGGCCCATGGTAGCTTATTTCACAGTCCCACAAGCACTAAACACAACAAAATAATCATAAAATGCGTGAATGAGAGCGCAGGTTAGTGTTCACTCAAGCATAAACAAAGCTAGACTGCTCACGGCGCCTGCGCGGGGACGCGGACAGAATGGGTGGCAGACAGGTCCCGTACCCAGCGGTCCGAAAATAGGGGCGCGTTCGATAATAGGGACACAGTTTGTCCGAAAAAATGGTCCTATTTTCGAAATGTTCGATATGTGATACGTTCGATTTTTGAGGTTCCACTGTATATAAAAACAAGAATCATTAAGAAATTTGAAGGAAACTCCAATGGGTGTGTTTACACATTCATGTATATGTATAGTGTGACCTAACAGTAAGTAGAAATAGCAATGTGTACCTGTTATCTTGCATGTTTGAGACAGAAAGGAAAGACACCACCAATCCTACCATTGTGTAAAATAATTACAGGTTTCTTTTCATACCAATTTGGCAGGACGGTAGTACAGTGGACCCCCGGTTAACGAACTTTTTTCATTCCAGTAGTATGTTCAGGTGCCAGTACTGACCGAATTTTTTCCCATAAGGAATATTGTGAAGTAGATTAGTCCATTTCAGACCCCCAAACATACACGTACAAACGCACTTACATAAATACACTTACATAATTGGTCGCATTTGGAGGTGATCGTTAAGCGGGGGTCCACTGTACGTACCTTCCTGGGTGGTTGCTGTCTACCAGCCTGCTCACAGTTTGGAGGAGGTGCTGGGATTACTTTAAGTATTATTCAGAGGATTGAAGAGGGGTTGTTGAGGTGGTTTGAGCATTTAGAAAGGATGTAGCAAAATATGATGACTTGGAGGATGTATTAGTCTGTAGTGGTGGGAAGGTGGGGTAGGGGGTTGCTAAATGTAATATTGAGGGAGGGGTTAAAGGAGGTTTTGTGTGTGAAGGGCTTGGACATCCAGCAGGCATGTATGAGCCTGTTAGAAGACACATGGTTTTTGGGACTTGACATGCTGTTGGAGTGTGAGAAATGTAATATTTTGTGAAGGGATTCAGGGAAACCGGTTAGCCAGACATGAGTCCTGGAAATGAGAAGTACAGTACCTGCACTCTAAAGGAAGGGTGAGGATACTGCAATTTGGAGGGCATCTGAGTTGTAGTATTGGTGTGCCTCTGGCAAGACACTGATGGAGTGAGTGATAGTGAAAGTGTTTCTTCTCTTTTGGGTCACCCTACCTCAGTGGAAGACAGCTGGTGTATTAAAAGAAAATTGTACAGTACATGACAGGTGCATATTTGGTATGCTTAGTTTTTTACAAAATTAAGTCAAGAAATATGGATGTTTTTTTGTAAATTTGTAACAAATGATTTTTGCTAAGTAATCACATGTTATACATGTAGCTGTTTTTCTTCACTGTGGAAAGCTGATCAAAATAATTGTCCCTGTTTTGGGTCTTCAAGAATTTTCTCTCTCTGTCTTGTTTCCAGGAATGTAATTCCATGTATATAGAGGTCTCACTGTACTGTATCTCAGGCAGCCCCACACATTTGCATTTTCTGAATAAGATAAACATTATTGATTTAGGTTAACAAATAAATGATATTGAATAACATGTTAGATTAGCATCTTTGAAAAAATTCAGTTTCCTGTGCTTATGTGTAAAAACTTAAAAAATTCCTTTACCATGGCTGCGTTGACAACATTGTTGCCCCAGACACTGAGTGTCCATGGTTCAGTTACCAGCACAGGTGGAAACACTGGGCATGTTTCTTTACACCTGCTGTCCCTGTTCACTTAGCAGTAAGTAGGTGCCTAGGTGTTTTGCGAACTGGTGTGGGTCACATCCTGGGGGACAAGGTTGAAGGACTCCAATGGAAATATGACTTAGTTGTCGATGATACACTGACTTTCTTGGGTTATCCTGGGCGGTTAACCCTCTGGGTTAAAAATCTAAACAGACCTTATCATACATTCATGCAGATTTATAGGTTAGTAAGTATTAATTATTTTCAAATTCCAGGGAATTCCATCCGAAAAAATCAAAGCCGAAGTGGAGCAAACGTTGAAGAACATTGACCTTTATAGTAAAGGAGACACCAAGGCTGCCAACCTTTCAGGTAAACTGTCTATCATAGTACTTTATTTTTCAGATGAATGAAGAAGTGCTGATGTTGTCGGGAGGTTGTTAGAACTGTGATGCCTGTGCACTTCTGGCAAGACAGTTTTTATATGAATGATTATGAATGTGTTTTCTGTTTTGCCTAGTTCTACCTTGGTGGGAGGCAGCCAGAACTGGAGTTCTGGAGGTGAGAAGTACAGTACCTGCTTTCTAAAGGAGGTGGTGGGGGTATTTGCTGTTTGAAGGAACATCTGAACTATTGTATCTGCACTCTGTCAAGACAGTGATAGTGTGAATGATGGTGAAAGTGTTCAATTTTTGGGTCTCTCTACCTCAGTAGGAGAAGTTGAAAGTGAACTTAGATAAGAGTAAGGTGATGAGGGGTATCAAATGAGTTAGGTAATGAAAAACTGGATATTAGGTTGGAGGGAGGGAGTACGGAGGAAGTAAATGTGTTGTAAGAGGCGACTAAAATGCCAGGAGCAAGGGGCTAGTAACCCCTTCTCCCGTATAAATTGCTAAATTTAAAAAGAGAAACTTTTGTTTTTCTTTTTGGGCCACCCTGCCTCAGTGGGATACGGCCGGTTTGTTGAAAGAAGAAGAAGAAGAGGCTAATCATAGAATTGATGAAGGAAAAAAGGTGAGTGGTGCATTGAGGTATATGTGGAGACAAAAAATGTTATCTATGGAAGCAAAGAAGGGAATGTATGAAAGTATAGTAGTACCAACACTCTTATATGGGTATGAAGCTTGGGTTGTGAATGCAGCAGCGAGGAGGCGGTTGGAGGCAGTGGAGATATCTTGTCAAAGGGCAACGTGTGGTGTAAATATTATGCAGAAAATTCGAAGTGTGGAAATTAGGAGAAGGTGTGGAGTTAATAAAAATTATTAGTCAGAGGGCTGAAGAGGGGTTGTTGAGGTTGTTTGGCCATTTAGAGAGAATGGATCAAAGTAGAATGAGATGGAGAGTGTTTAAATCTGTAGGGGAAAGAAGGCGGGGTAGGGGTCATCCTCGGAACGGTTGGAAGGAAGGGGTAAGGGAGGTTTTGTGGGCGAGGGGCTTGGACTTCCAGCAGGCGTGCATGAGCGTGTTCGATAGGAGTGAATGGAGATGAATGGTATTTGGGACCTGACGATCTGTTGGAGTGTGAGCATGGTAATATTTAGTGAAGAGATTCAGGGAAACCGGTTATTTTTATATAGCCAGACTTGAGTCCTGGAAATAGGAAGTACAATGCCTGCACTCAAAGGGAGGGGTTCGGGATATTGGCAGTTTGGTGGGATATGTTGTGCATCTTTATATGTACAGGTCTCCCTCAACATTCGCAAGGGTTAGGGGATCAAGAGCCTCGCGAATGTTGAAAAATCGCGAATGTTTGGTGCCCCAATATATTGTAGGGAAATATAATACAATACTGCTTCCTTAACTTGTTGAACCATGAACAATCATAAAATACATGAAAACGTCGTAAATTGTACTAAATACATACATGTTATGGTTTAATAACATGTATGTTATTAAATACCACTGCCTCCACCATTGCCTCCACCAATGCCTCCACCACTTTCTCAACCACTGCGAGTCCCTCCGACCCCGGCAACTGGCAGCCAGCCCTCCCACCAGTGTGGTGAGTGTTTTGTTTGTTCATTATTTGCTATTAAACTACAGTATAAATAATATAAACCCATTCATGACTGGAGTGGTAGAGGCAGTGCTTGAGGAAGCAGTTGAGGCAGTGGGTGAGGCAGTGGTTGAGGCAGTGGGTGAGGCAGTGGGTGAGGCAGCGGGTGAGGCTGCGGTTGAGGCAGTGGGTGAGGAAGTGGTTGAGGCAATGCTAGAGGCAGCGGTTGAGGCAGTGGGTGAGGCAGCGGTTGAGGCAATGCTAGAGGCAGCGGTTGAGGCAGTGGGTGACGCAGTGGTATTTAATAACATATATGTTATAAATAATAATACATATTATTAATAACATGTATTATTATTATTACGTATTATTAATAACAACATGTATGTTATTAAATACCACTGCCTCAACTGCTGCCTCACCCACTGCCTCACCCACTGCCTCACCCACTGCCTCTACCATTGCCTCACCCACTGCCTCTACCATTGCCTCACCCACTGCCTCACCCACTGCCTCACCCACTACCTCAACCACTGCCTCACCCACTGCCTCACCCACTGCCTCACCCACTGCCTCTACCATTGCCTCACCCACTGCCTCACCCACTGCCTCTATCATTGCCTCACCCACTGCCTCACCCACTGCCTCTACCATTGCCTCACCCACTGCCGCTACCATTTCCTCAACCGCTGCCTCACCCACTGCCTCAACCGCTGCCTCACCCACTGCCTCAACCGCTTCCTCAAGCACTGCCTCTACCACTCCAGTTGCACTCAATCTACAAGCACCAAACAATGAATTATTGTGAAATGTTTGGAAGAGCAGGGAGACTAATGCTCACTCCAGCATAAACAAAGCCACACTGACGATGTGTCAACCACTCCCTCGTATTTTTGTACAATTTCCTTCTTCAATTCTATCGTATTTATTATTATTATTATTATTATTATTATTATTATTATTATTATTAATATTATTACTATTGTTATTATTAGCAGTAGCAGAAATGTTTGATTCTTTGCTGTGCTCAAGAGTAAACACATGATGTCACCGTCCAATACCTGTCCGAATAGCCATTCCAATATGCAGTCATGAATGGGTTTACATTATTTATACTGTAGTTTAATAGCAAATAATGAACAAACAAAACACTCACCACACTGGTGGGAGGGCTGGCTGCCAGTTGCGGGGGTCGGAGGGAGGGTAGTAGGGACTCGCAGGTGGCAGGAAACTTAACCCTTTCAGGGTCCGTCCCGTAGATCTACGGATTCATGTTGAGTGTCCAAACCGTAGATCTATGCCAAAATTCTAGCGCCGTCAAATTTAGCGCGAAAATGCTCATAGGCCTACATGTGAGAGAAAGGGTCTGTGTGGTGGGTGTGCACCATAAACAAAAAATCTAGGCACCCGCATAGCATTGTGGGAACGCCGACTCAGTTACCTTTGTTCACCATGCCTCGTCGCAAGGCAGCTCTCATTCCAAGGAAAATTGGGACTCTCCTGTTCCTATCTGATAGTTCTGACAGTGATGGAAGTGGAAATGAAGATGAATTCTTTGGCTTTGATCAGATAGTGACCGAAAGGAATGACCAGGATATCGATAATAGTGCAGAAAACCCTGACGATCCTCAACCTTCTACCTCTGGTGTGGGCACTCGTCAGTCACGGTCGGTTGTACCTCAACGAAAGAGAAAACTATTATTTTCACGTGGCCAGGCCTCTGACTTCAGTAATGATGATGATAGTGATGTGGATTGTGAATTTATTGCTCTTGATGATCATTCGAGTACTGATAGTGAGGAATTATATTCACCAGTGAAGCGTCAGTATGTATGCCGCCGCATGCGCTCGGGTAGTGTACCCTATGCCGTGCCTAGGGGATGGAGTACATCCCGGAGTACATCCCGTGGCCCTACACCAGGTATAGATAGTGATAGTGAGGATGATGTGGCTACACTTGGCATGGATAGACCACAGGCATCACTAGATGGTGGTAGTGGTGATGGTAGTGCCACGGCCATGCGTGACTCACCAGCCCAGGCTGGGACCCACGCTGCTGACACCGCAGTTCAAGGACAAAGCGGAGCGTCAGCCACCAGCCCACCACAACCACAACTACCCGCACAACCAGCCTATGATGTCCAGTATCCACCAGCAAACCATATCTGGGACTGGCAGCAAAATCCCAATTTTGTTCCCAAGCCTCACCACTTTGATGACTCTCAAAGTGGATTTCTACCTACTTGTCCCCTTGGAAACACTGCAAATGAACTGGAATTCTTTGAATTATTCTTTGACCAGCCCTTGATGGAAACTATTGTCAGGGAAAGTAATAAGTATTTTGAGTACACCATGGCAAATATGATCTTATCACCACAGTCAAGACTACACCGGTGGAAAGAAACGACTGTTGCAGAAATGTATTTGCTTTTTGCAACAATAATGCTTATGCCTCATGTCTTTAAGCATAATATAAAAGCATACTGGTCCACAGATAGGCTAATTTCTACCCCGGTCTTCAGTGAAATCATCCCAGTGAACAGGTTTATCTTACTGTTATGTATGTTGCACTTCTCTGACAAAACCAGGCCTGACAGAAGTGACAGGTTATACAAGATTAGAAATGTTTTCATGTATCTCAAACAAAAGTTCAGCATATACTTTTATCCATTCAAGAATCTTGTAATTGACGAGTCTTTGATTTTGTTCAAAGGTAGGCTGTCATTCAAGCAGTATATACCGAGCAAGAGGAAACGCTTTGGTATGAAACTGTTTGTACTCTGTGACTGTGACAGTGGCCTGGTATTGGATATTGTTGTATACACAGGAAGTAAAACATTGAAAGATACCAAGATGTTATTGGGTATCTCAGGTGACGTAGTGAGAAGCATGATGGCACCTTATCTTGGTAAGGGGCATACATTATATACCAATAACTGGTACACAAGCCCATTACTCAGTGATTTCTTGTGAGTGAACAAGACAGATGTGTGTGGCACAGTGCATTCTAATCGTAAACATATGCCCAGGCTCAGTGCAGGTGCTCGTGGTGATGACGTGCAGATGTTTACTGCCAATGACATCATGGCATTACGGTGGCATGACAAACGAGTTGTCACATTGTTGACAACCATTCACCTTAATGAAATGCAAGACAGTGACAAAGTTGATCGAGTGACTAATGAACTTATTCGAAAACCAGTGACAGTGATTGATTATACATAAAACATGCGCTTGGTTGACAAATGTGACATGTAGATTGGCTTTGTTGATTGTGTTCGTAAAAGTTACAAGTGGTACTTGAAACTTTTCTTCCATCTCATGGACGTTTCAATGCTCAATGCATATAATATGTACCAAATGAAGACTAGCAACA